AAAGAAAGAAAGAAAGAAAGAAAGAAAGAAAGAAAGAAAGAAAGAAAAAGAAAAGAAAAAGAAAGGAGCTGAACAAATATGAGTCACTTCACATTTGTAGGATCAATGGCTCCACTGTCCTGATTTAGTCCCATGAACATGAGTCAGAAAGGTGAAGAAGGTAACTGTTTTCTGTCCCATCCTATGCCTGGGAGCAGCCACACCCTTCCATTACGAGCAGAGGAGTGGGCACTCTCAATGGACAAGTAGCACACACTAGCAGTTTGGCCTGCATGAGGTTCTAGAATCTACCATGGTGTCACCTTCTTCCATAGGGGATTAAGTGGTCAAGACATTGGTCCAGGGGACATCTCTCCTCTTCCAAAAGCATCCTGCCTGGCTCTTAAAAGGCCTGGGACATTTTTCAGGACCAGAAGCCATCATCAGTATAAACTGAGTCCCACAGGGCTACCTGAGAATACTTTTTCAGGGACCCCCCCATGCTGAGCACAAATATGTTTGTTTCTGGACATACAGGATTCAGGAACCAACTGGCCCTGGCATTTCCTCTAATACTCCATCAGAGTGGCACATTTTTCTTGATAATTTGTTTTTAGTATAACAGAGAACTGCACTGTCACCGAAAGGGGGGAGAGGGCTAGTCCAGCCATAAGAAAGATTAAGAAGGTCAGAAGACCAAGGAAGGGTGATTCTGGAGACCCAGAGAGGCTGAAGGCTAGCATGGCAGACGTTCCTGGGGCAAGGAGGAAAGAAGAGCAGGTAGAGAAAGCAAGTAGCCCACATCACTGCTGTGCTCTGCCTCTATTCTGCTTGCCTCATCTCAAGGCTCTGTTCTCAGAATCTACCCCCTAACCCAGAGGTACGGAAGCACTTTGCCACACTCATGCCCCTTATTCCGTTTTTCCTCCCCTTTCCTCTTCCATTCCTCCTTTCCACCTTCCCCCATTATTCATTCCATTCTCCCATCCATCATCCTTCCTTTTCTTCTCCTCTTTGATGCCTTCCTATCCTTTTCCTTCCCTCTTTCTTCCCATCTATACTAGAAGAGCTTCTCTGAGTCGGAATCCCTGATGCGTGCTGGAGACAATTACAAATTAGCGTCTCTGCCTTCCAGGAAGCCTGCTGGCAAGTGGCCACATGGAAGTGCCAATCAAGAGTGTAACAAGTATCCTGGGGGAGAAAAGATGTGGAGCAAAGATTGGAGGTTCTTCTTGGTGGGTGGCCAGGGTGGAAGCCCCTCAACTGAGCAACAAGGGAAAGTCTTCTTGGCAGGTGAAAGGAGCAAGGCATAGCCGGAGGGCTGGAGAAGCCAAGGCTGCTCTGGGTTGGGTCTGCAGGAGACTCAGATTAGAGGTTCTGCACCAGGGCTCTGTTTCACGGCAGATACATTCCTAGGGCTGGGGCTGCTGCCACCCACTCCTGTGTTCCACTAGAAATACAAATGTGTTCAAAGCGGAAAGATCAAGAAGCGATTAACTATGTTGGCACCTGCTCATGAGTGGTTTGGCCATGCGCCCAACTGGGGTGTGTGCTGAGTGAGTGCAGGTGGCAGCAGCTTGCCTCGCGCCATTGGGCATACTCCTCTGAAGAAAGCAATGCACCGTGGTTTCTGGACATGCATCTGAGACCCTCCCCCTAGATGCAGAGGCTTGAAACTCATGAGGGAAGAAGAAATAGGCTGCCAGTCCAGGGTGGGACCACTCATTGCCCTCCACTTTGCCTCACAGTCCAGCCTCACCAGGTATCTGAAGGCAGCAGCACGGGCCTTGCCACCACCCTCATACCCTGACCCTGTGACTGCAGTGGAGCTGGCCTTGCCACACAGGCAAACTGTAGGACTTGCTCAAAGCTTAGCTCTGGCTAGTGCCCCTCCACTCAGCTGTGGCCTTTCAGATTTGCTGCTGCTCTTCAGCTTCTGTGCACTCAAAAGTATGAGCAGCTACCACTTCTCTGAAAGTACCATGTAGGTTCATTCTACTATACCCTATTAGAACGCCTATTGATCCTCCAAAACCCAGCCTCTTCCCAAGGAAAGCCACTTATAACCACTTAGTCCTCTGTGGAATGTGGCACTTCTTGTTTTTTCATTGGCAGGACTCACGTCATTTCTCAATGGAATCTATTGGCATTTGTGACCCAGAACTCTGTGGG